ATACATCTTTTAATTTCCTGGCTACTGGTGCCGAGAGTGTTGACTGTGGAGCCAAGCAAACTAAAGCTGTGAACAATCTCAATCTCTTAACCATCCATCCTGATGCTGCCAATTGGCCCAGTGGTGAGAATCTATATCCGCCTCCTATAAATGTATTTATTCTTATGGAATACCATAATAATCTTTAAATTTATCACTTTTGTTGCTGTTACCGAGAATAAAATCTCAAGTCAACAATGAATAAGAAATATTGACATGGGTTGCCTTTAAATGGTGTACAAGTGTTAATACAGTTAATAGCTTTAAATGCACTAGAGAATATAGTCAATGTGGCTTCTTAAATTTCACATGCAGAAATATAATTTTATAAAGCAGAAAATTTCTCTTCTGAAATATCAAAACTCTATATTCCTGTCAACAACTTTAATAGAATGAATTAAAAAAGCAAAGATGTTAAGAATTAGGATAAAAACCACTCTAGTAAAGGGCCCCAAAGCTTGGCCATTATGATGAGAAGCTAATAATTTCATCAAAGATGGGTAATTTTTATAAGATGTTTTAGAAGACATGATTTTTACATTTTTATTATAGTACTTTCAACTACTTCAAGAAAATGAGTTCCTTTTTCTCAGTCTGACAGATTTACACACATAATGAAACAAACATTACTATTCCAGCACTTACATTTTTTTAAAATTCAACTGACCTCTTTTGTGCAGCATATTGCTTACTATATGCTTCCATAGTGCAATACTATAAACATGGTACTTCAGTAAAGTGCCTCAGTGTGCTAATCCAAAAACTAAATCCACAACTGTCCAATCAATTCTGACCCACAGTGACCGTCCCCCCTCCACTGGGTTTCCAAGGCTGTAAATCTTTATGGAAAGAATCTGCTCATCTTCCTTCTCCAGAGAGGCTAGAGGATTTGAATTGCTAACCTTTTCTTTAGCATCCTGGTATGTTACTCACTGAGTCAAGTGAACAGTACTCAATAAATAACAGCTACTCTTCTTTTCACCAGAAGCTGTACATATTCTGATGACCTTTTTACATTTTTCATAATTTGAGTGCTTTTCTTAGTAACACTGCTCAAAATCCTATTGTCATCAAATAATGTGTGTATGTATATTTTCCCATCACTGAAAAGTTTTCAGTTTAGAAGATGTTATAAAA